GGGGGGAGGGAGGAATCCGTGGGAATCCGTGTCGTTCCCGCAGGCCTCGCTGGCCGCGGCCTGCGGGTGACGCAGGTGATGCAAGAGGCGCGCCCTTGCGGGGGTGTCCAGGGGCGCCTCCGGGAGGGCTTGGGGGGAGGCTCGCAGGGCGTCCCACGTGTCCGGGTGCCAGAGGGCCAGAGGTGCCCCGGGGTGCAGGGCCTCCTGGGCTCCTCCGAGGCGGCCTCCCGCGCCTTCTGCGGCATTCTTCTTCGCCTTCTTCGTCTCCTCTTCATCTTCTCATTCTCCTTTGTCTCCTCTTGCATTCTCCTCCTCATCCTCTCATTTTCCCTGCTCCTCCTCCCCTCGGCTGTCAGAGTGACAGGAGGGCGTGGGGCAGGAGATCAGCTGTTGAGTCCTTTGGGCACTTCCCTCGGGTCGCAGGGCGGGGGGGCGAGCTGGGGCCATGGGGGCAGAGTGGCACTGGCTGCCCCGTGCGCGTGGCTCGTCTTGGGGAGCTCTTCTTTCTCCGGTTGAGATCCAGGCATCTGAAGCCATTCGCGACGGGTAAAAATGAACAAAAAACGGGGAAAATGCTGTGCTTGTTTTTTATATTTTTTGTGAAATGTCTCTACACTAGATGGCTCTGCCTTTCCTGATTTCACCTTCCCTTGAGTTGGCGGGAAAATATATTTTTTACTAGTGCTATGAATATCGGTGGTTATTTTTATTATAAACATTATAATTACTACAATGTTATAAACATTAGTAGCAGTAAAATAAGATAACGTAAAATATTTTTGTAAATTAAAGAAAAGAGTAAACGGGCAAGACCGCCAGTACAAGTACAAGTGTAGCCATCTATGTGTGAAAACAATTAAACAAGCAAACTCACTGATACATGACACTTGTCGCGAATGGGTTAATCGAAGGGAGTCCTCTCTGTTTTGCTTATGAAATCGAAGTACAAGTTATTAAATGACTAATACGCGTGGTTTGGTACGAGTCGTCAAGGGTGGGAACCTGCCAACGCACTCGTCAGCTTCACTGGCCTCTTGTCAGGTTTTTATTATACAGGTCTTGGGTTTTATTGATATACCAGGATGGTCATTGTTTAGAGTACTTTTGCGTCAGCGATCACAACAATTTTGGTATGGATGGATTTCTTTCACTCCCTAGGATACACATATAGGACCCCCCATCCCCCCAGAAATACTCCCACGTTCTTGGCCCTGATAGCAGGGGAGGCATGAAAGGTACCAGGAAATTGTGGTGTAAAATGACATGAGAAAGCATTAGAGATAATAACGCTATCTGTGATCCCCGTGAAGGGCTGCCGCCTCCCAGCCCCTGCCTCGGACAGCAAAGAATTCTCTACCTGTTCATGGCAGGATAGAGCACTGACTGACCAGTGTGGCGAAGACAGCAAGATATCCCCTATGTTTTTTAAGTTAATAACCTGGTTGATAGAAGTTGCTGAGCTGTGAGGGTTCTCAGCTGGGTGGGCGATGTAGTTTTCTCTACTTTATTCTGCCCTACATATGTGGACTTCCAGGGTGGGTTGGGGTTGGCAACCTCCCAAGGGAGGGTCACAGGGGCATTACTCCATCCAGTGGCTTATTTATTGTATATTAGTACTAGAGTTGCATATTTCCTGTATTCTGTTCATATCTTACCCTGCAATTTCCCTGGTACCTTTCATGTCCTCCCCTGCCATTGGGGCCAAGAGTGTGGGTAATGGGGAGGTTTCCATGGCATAATTTTGATATATTTGGGTAGCCGGGAGAGAGAGACGAATCCACCAATACCATAATCACTTAGATCACTTATACGAAGGTATACTGAATATTTACCTACTACATTTGACAGGTTGTTTACTCTGCAAGAAATGGCCATAATAGGAAGAAAATTATAGAAAATAATGATATTTTTGGTAAATTTAAAAGGAAGCTGCAGACATGCTCATCTGCTCATTGGCTTTTGTTGATGAGTTGGATCTCCAGGTGTCGGCTCTCAAACAAGGGCCACAAAATTTCTATCATTCATATTGTAGAAAGAGAAGATCTCACTGGCAGTCTATTTCTAAGTAAGGAACCTGAATCAGGCCTGTTATTCCAGAATGCGTGTTGCATCTTTGTTGACCTGGTAATTCTTTTCAGTAGGGACTGAGCTGCACCAGTGGTAGAGCTGCTGGTTGGAATATGTACATTGCATATTCATCCTGAATGGCTTGAGCCCTTCCTCTCTGCTCACACCCAATCTTATGTCAGACAAATTTGTACTTCAGGCAAGAATGGCGGGCAGTGTCAATGTGATCTTCAGTTTTGTTCTGATGAAGATGTTGGTTTCTTTGTCTATAATTACATGTTTTATTTCCCATGTATCACTTTTTTTTTAGTATAGGAACTACCTCCTGATGTTACTTATATCCAAATAAAAAGTTGTCAGACAAATAGTTTGTCGTATTATACACTTATTTTGGAGAGCTGTTTATGAGAACACAAATGTCCTTAGAAATAGGAAGCAATTGCTGGTTACTTGAGAGCTGTTGAAATTGGTTACATGTTTTTCATGCTATAAATGATAATTTGCATGAGGGTTTGGCACTTTCTTTTCTGTTTTGGATGGTAAAAAATTTATTGGAGGTTTCTCACTTGACAAAAATAAAAAGTACACACAAACTAAGTCAAGTGCAGACTGAAAACGGAAAAGGGATGTGTTGTGCAAGGAAAATGTAAAGAACATTTTCCTGAAAGGCAAAATAGCAGTTTCGTAAGGTGTTCATCAGATCTTGAGATGAGGAATTTGAAATTGTTGTCCTCCCTTCCATAAACTTCTTTTGGATGTTGTGTTTTTTTCTGATAGATCATCACAGAGTGGTGTGCTACTCATCAATTTGATTGCATTGTATCAGGTGGTTGCTGAAGCAAACAGTATGTGCAAGATGACAGAATGCTTATCAGTTATAACTGCAAACAGTTTTGTAGTATTTCATAATAAGAATTCTAGAAAGTTGCTATTTTGAAATTGTGGTCATAATATTGATAGACACCTGTTTCTTAGCATAGGCATGTTTCCAGAATTATTCACTCATACAAAGTGTAATTAAGTGTATATTTGTTTTTTATGTCCTATAAGGTTCTAGTTATACATCATGCCTTATACTTCGTAAATGTACTCCCTTTCCAGGTAACTTTTCCCCTGCATTTTCCCTCCCTTTTTATCTATTTATTGCCTCCTTTTCTTTCTGCTTCTCTCTCCCATCTCCTTTTTTTCTGTTTCCCTCTCCCTTTACATTTATGCTTCTTACTCCATATTCCTTAAGTTTCCCCCTCACAATATATTTGTTCTCCATCCCTTTCTGTCATTTCCAATAATTTCCTCATTGCCTTTTATCTGTTACCCTTGCATATTTCTTGCTTCCTATCTATCTGATTTTCCTCACTTTCAGGCAGGTCTCCTTCCTTCTTTGTTGCCCTTTCTCTTTAAGTCAGTGTCCCCCCTCCTTTTTATTTATTTACCCCTCTTCCTTTTTATCTTTCCCCCCTCAACTTTCAATTTCTTTCTCTTCCATTTGTTTCTATTTCTGTTTTCCTTTCCATTTCCCTTTCACTTTCTATCTGTTCACCTACTCTTTGTTTTTCCCCTCCCATGTCATGTATTTCATCATCCCTTTCTTTTTTTTAATTTCCTTCTGCATTGCATTCCACTTCTTCCTCTTTCTATCCTCCCTCTCCCTTTCCATCTACATCTTGCTTTTCATTTTTTCATCTACTTGCCATAATTTTTCTTCCTAAAGCATTAATTTTTTTATTTTTAAGGAATTTCCAATGGGAAGCTGTAATGAAAGGGATTACCCTCTTCCTTTTTATCTTTCCCCCCTCAACTTTCAATTTCTTTCTCTTCCATTTGTTTCTATTTCTGTTTTCCTTTCCATTTCCCTTTCACTTTCTATCTGTTCACCTACTCTTTGTTTTTCCCCTCCCATGTCATGTATTTCATCATCCCTTTCTTTTTTTTAATTTCCTTCTGCATTGCATTCCACTTCTTCCTCTTTCTATCCTCCCTCTCCCTTTCCATCTACATCTTGCTTTTCATTTTTTTCATCTACTTGCCATAATTTTTCTTCCTAAAGCATTTAATTTTTTTATTTTTAAGGAATTTACAATAGGGAAGCTTGTAATGATCAGTCTCTATTTTCCTTTTTTTGTGTTATTAGCTTTTTGGTATTTGTTACTGAGAACAACAGACACATCGAAAAATCAGGGTATCCTGCTAACCCAAAATTTGAACAACTTTTCCTACCTTCTATTTATTCTCTAGACTGGGGGGGCAAGCCACCCAGTACCCCCCTTTATTAGCACTTCATGCAAATAACAAAACACAAGATTAAGAATTCTGGCTGTGTGAGGCTGTTGTGGCTATTTTTGTGATTTCCTGTTAAATATGAGGCTGCTGCAGATGTACCTATATTGCTTCTTACTCTTTTTCCCTCATCTCTGTGCATTGCTCTCGGTAACATTAATCAGCTTTCATTTAGCTACTTGCCTATTTCTGTGTGAAGAACTGGAGATGGACTTGGTAAAGGAATCAAAAATTAGATTTCAAACCACAATGAATAGATTGAAGAAATATATAAACTGCTATTATTCCAGGAAAGCACAAGGGAGGCCGTCGGCACTTCACCAACTTCGAAGCTTTGGAAGAGCAGAAGAAGAAGGAGGAGAAAGAGCGACAATGGAGAGTAAGTTAGGGTCTTGTTGTTACTACACAAGGTTCTTTGCTTTTTGAATGCATAGTATTCCACTCCTCCATCTCCCCTTTCTGTCAACAGTGCTATGCTTGTGTTGGTACTCCTGTAAAAATGAGTTCTTCATTATTATTTAGGATTATTTTGTAGGATTTTGAAAGGGAAAATTATTTTGATTTTTGATGGGTACAGATTCAAACACCTTTGTTGTTATAAAAGGTGCATTTTTTTTTCGCTGGCCGTTGTACCGTGAGCTTCACCAATTGTTTGCCGTGCCAAGCTTTTTGCATTTATTTATTACTTACTTTGGTTTCTAGTTGCCCCCGATGTTATAACTTTATTATATTTTGTCTTACTGTGTACTGTGTGGGAGATGTCTTTTAGTTCTATTTAGTAACTTAGGCTAGACTTCATAAGTCACTGCATAGATGGAATTTGTACAAAGACTTCCTATGAGAGTGATACCCATGTGGTAATATATGTATTATTGCCTTATTTTGATTACTGATTGCTTACTATGTGATAATTACTGATTTGACTTTGATTCTGCACAGAGGGAGCAGGGAGAGACTGACAGTGAAGAGGAGGAGGAGGAGCAGAAGAGTTCTGGCAGTGAAGAATCCTCTTCTGAAGAGGAATCTGGCAGTGAGGGAGAAGCAAAGGAGCAGAAAGCCAAGGGCGTTTCCAACCTCATTGAAACACAGAACCCTAACAGAGTTGTGGCCAAACTGAAGAAGGTTGCAACACTCAGCGTGGCTGCCTCAGGAGGCGGCAAACCCCAGCTGTCCCGTCGAGAGAGGTAGGAGGTGCATGAATTTCTGGCCAGTTAGAGGGAGTGCTCTCGTGGGCCCATATCTGGGCATTAGCCTCACTTTAGTGGAAACTCTCCCAGGGTGTGACTTGTAGGTCTGGCCCACATGAACATGCGTTATCTTAGAGGGGAGTTAGAGAGTTGGGACCCTGGTGAATTAGTAGACTGTGGGATTCAATATTCACACCCCCGTTAAGGTCAAACTAATCAATTATGCTGGTAGTGTTAGTCAGTTGGTGTAAAAACTCTCATCAAGTGTATTGAGCTTTGAGTTATGCATTTATTTAATGGATTTACTAGATATAAAAATTTAAGTCCATATTTATTTATATACTTATTATTAATCAAGACATTTACTTTTCATTTTCTCTCATTTTACTCATTTGTTAAGTATACTTGACCCATCACTGCTGGGTAACAAATCCGTGTGTGATAAACTATTTTGATTTCTGGAAAGGGCCAGACACTGGGCGCGGGAGTTTGCCACATCAAGTGGAATGTCCCGCTCCATGCACTCTGGAGCATCGCCACATGTAGAGGTGTTCCGCGCAGACCAAGTGGTTTGTTGTGATGCCAGTTCATTTGACCTGTCCGGATTGGATTAAAGGACAAAGAAAAAATCTTAAGAGATGAAATTATTATACATGTAGCATAGACATAACTCTAAACCATTGGTCCCCATATATGATAAATTTCATGGCCCTGTTCAGTGTCTGTCATTTCAGATTCAGTTATTAGCTACTCAGCTAATGGTGGCAGTACTTATAGGACTAGAATACTATATGAAAAGAATCCAATTTAATGATACATGAGAGAGAATTATATATAGGTACTGCGGCATTAGAATGTCCTAATTTTCATATTGCTCCATGGCCCCTCGGAAAGTATCCCTTGGACCCCAGTTGGGAACCCATGCTTTCATAACTGTTACCTAGTACCTTTAGGGTGCTGTTATACTGCTTATTGTTACCCTTAATATTCTCTTGCATAAATGATGAACAAATTGATCCTATGCCAAATATGCTTGTGTTTAGGCACTAGATAGCTGATGAATTATTTTACTCTCTAAAGTGGGCTCAGTGTTAATATGATAAGAATAGTACCACCAATTTTACATGTGATTTCACTCTCATAGGATTTACCTTATATTAAAGATTATTATAAAGACTAGAAAAAAACTTTTTTAATCCCTTACTGATGGGTGAAGAAAAAAACCCAAAAAAACTCTACACTCTAGAGATCAATGGCAATGCCCCAACTCTGAGTGCGGGAGTTTGGCACATGAAGCCAAATCACTGAATTGTAGCGTTTTGGCACATCGCTGTGGCGTACGGCCACACTCCACAGATTGAGCGGTTTGTTATGATGCCTCAGTGTGTGACCTGTCAGGGAGGGGTTCATAGAGATTACTTACATTGAAGGATGAATTCTCCTTTCCTCATGAGTATGTTGTCTCCGCTTGGAGTTAAAGTGATGTTGACCAAAGTCTTTGTCTCCTCACTCACATCACATGCCTGTTGTTTACAAGACCTGTAGATTATCACCCTTTTATATCCCTGAATGGCTTGTAAAATACTAAAGGCTTATCCCTACCATAGGTCCAACATTACACTCTCTAGCTTCAATGGAAAGTGGAGGTCCACTGAACAACTATTCCACCTACCCTGCAGCCATTGGAAAACCAGTGCAATGGCGTATGATGGCCTCCTTGGGTCAGGATAACCTTTAAATTACAACTTCATTAAGTCGGGCTGATGACACAACTTCACTTTACTATCATTTTGATATTGAAATGTTACGAGTAATAATATAAACAGCTAGATCATGTTCATAAATAATAGATATGATAATTCTAACAAATGTTTTTGCAATTGTGATTGCAAATATAGTATTTTTATTTCTATTTTAAGAAAAAAAATTAACCAGTGGCATTGGTGATGGCATGTATATAAATGCCATAACTACTGTGAACTTAGTTTATTAATTGTCTCTACACAGATGGCTGCACAGGTGATTGATCACCAATCAGTCAATTAACACCTTCCCGACGGGTCACGCCCTGAGGCGTCATAACAAATCGCTCAATCTGTGGAGTGCGGCTGTATGCAGCGGCGATGCGCCAAAGCACTATGAGCCGGTGATTCGGCTTGATGTACCGAACTCAAACCAAAGTCGGCACGTTGCCATAGATCTCCAGAACATAGAGTTTTTAAAAAATTAACTTCACCTGTCAGTAAGGGGTCAATAGTATTGCCTATCTAACCTGTTCACCCTTTCCCATGATTTTCAAAAATATTTTCCTTCATCTTATTATACTATTAACAGCATCAATATTGAAAGCATTAGAAAATATTTTTTTCCTGGAAACTCCAGAAAATAGGAAATCAAGCCAGGTCATGAGGTCTATCAATTGACTTCTTGGTGGCTGAGCACTTGTAGACATTTCACAAAATGAAACTACAGTGAACACTACATTAACCCATTGCTGCCGGGGATGGCATGTATGGACTTGCCATGCCCACTGTGAGTCGACTTGCTTGATTGTTTTTACACATAGATGGCTACACTTCTACTAAGTCACCAATGAGCCAATTACGAGAACTGCCTGTCATGCCCGTTCACCCTTTTCATCGATTTACAAAAATATTTAACTTTATCCTAATTTGTTGTTAAAAATAACACCATCTATATAGCACTAGTAAGAATACGTTTTTTTCCGCCAATTCAAGGAGAGGTGAAATCATAATTTGTAGAGTCATTTCACAAAAATATAAAAAATGAGTACAGCATTTTCCCCATTTTTTATTCATTTTTTATTCCCCAGTGGCAATGGGTTAACCTGACAGCATGGCGGCACAAGTATATTGATGATAGGTGGGAGGGTGTGGGAGAGAGCTTGTGGTCACAGGGGAAAGAAATAATAAACCATTTTCTCATTTTGCACACATTCATGTTCAGTACAAATGGTGAAAATATTAGAAACAAAAGGTTAAGATTATATTGTGATAGCATGGAAGACTTGAAAATGGACAGTTCCTGTGTTTGTCTAGAATTATGCAGATCAGAATCTTGTGCAGATTCTTACAAGTGGTATTTTATATGATTATTCATTATTAATGTTATTAATTTCTGGTAACTTTACTTGTACCTGGCTGTACATCTGCTACTTTATTCACCAAGATTTTAGTTGGATGCTTACACATAGATAGCTTCACAAAAGCCTAACCATCAAGGAATCATTTACTAGTCCAACCAGATCTCTCCTGTTTATCCATTTCCTTGAGTTTCAAAAAGATATATGAATAATATAATGATAATAATGAGATAATGATGATTATGATGATCATCATCATTATTATTTATGTTTATATTGTTATTGTTGCTTTTTTTAGTATTACTTGTCAATAGTGTTAGTGCAAATGTCATTTGAAAATTCCAGGAATGGGATAATTGGGTGAAATCAGCAAGGGCCACTAATTGACCTTGGGAGCTACAGTGGATAGCAGTTATCCAGCGCCAAGGGGTTGATTATTATATTGCTGCACTTTCTATTATTATACTTTGACTCTAGTTGAATATAGTTCATGCAATATTATCTTCATTATTTGGCTCGTACAGTTCATCACAGAGATTGCCATAATTGCTGCTTCACCTAAAACATTTTTTTTTTTTTTTTTTTTTTTACTTGTTAACCCATTCGTAACGGGCTCACTGTGAGTTTACCTGTTTAATTGTTTTCACACATAGATGGCAACACTTGTACTTGTACTGCCCGTCTCGCCTGTTTACCCTTTTCTTTAATTTACAAAATTATTTTGTGTTATCTTATTTTGTTTATAACATAGTAATTATAATGTTTATAATAAAAATAACCTTCGATATTCATAACACTAGTAAAAATACATTTTCCCGCCAATTCAAGTAAAGGTAAAATCAGGTAAGGCAGAGCCATCTAGTGTTGAGAAATTTCATGAAAAAATATAAAAAATTGAGCACAGCATTTTTCCCGTTTTTTGTTCATTTTTACCCGGTGCAAATGGGTTAAGACTCTTTCTGTAAACTTTTTATTCCTCAGTTTACAACTGACAAACACAGAATACACCAGTTTCCCCATTAACCATATAACTAAGGAAATCTAGTTTAGAATTATTACTTTTATTTGTTACAGCTGCATTTTATTTTATTTTTTGCTTAGTTTTCTTTTCTGATTGTTCTTTAACAAAATGTTAGATACTTTAATATGTTAGATACTTTAAAATGAACAATTGCCTTATCAGGGAAGAGATTGAGAAGCAGAGAGCTACAGCACATTATCGGAAAATGCACGCTGAAGGGAAGACCGAGGAGGCCAGGGCAGATCTGGCACGACTTGCTCTCATAAGACAGCAGCGAGAGGAGGCTGCCAAAAAGAAAGAAGAGGAACGAAAAGGTAGGAAGGACTTCTTTTTGGCTAGGTAGAATTTACGTGCACAAGATTGACCACCACAGAAACAAAAATTAATAGCTTGATATTGTATCCCTAAGAACAATCAGTGATTTGATAGTTTTTTTTCTCTTTCAGCAAAAGAAGAGGCAGCAGCAGCTAAGAAAGAACAGCTTGCAAAGGTCCTCAATAAGAAGAAAAGCTGATCATATTCTTGGGCTAGATACTTGTCTTGTATAGATAGCTGCGGCCGTCACACATCATGCCAAGTGACTCTGCACGCATCCAACTGGACTTTTTGAATGTGCGTGTATGAGAATTTAGAAGGAATTTTTTTGTTTCAAATTTTTTTGCATATTTACTTTCAGTAAACCATACAGTGTGCTGAGTCAATTGTCTGTGATGTTAAAAGAAATAAAAAGTTTGAGTTTGGTTAGGAATTATTGATCTTGTGTCGGAGAAGCTTATCTTTTGAAGACCTTCACAGCGGAGTGTGAAGTATTTCCCACATAGTGCCATGCCTACTCAGAGCAATTTGAAGGTAGAAGCATGTACTGCTGGAGAAGTACACTCTACAAGTACAGTTCAAGTGTCAAGAACAGATGTTTATTCTTTGATTTTATTTCGTATGTAATTCCTTTTCCTGATTTTATAAAAGAGTCTGTTCCTAATTTGCAAATGGATCATACAGTATTCGGACATATTTTTGTATAAGTATTTATCAGATAGTGTGTTTCATCTTCATTTATGTGTCATGGAAACATTGCTTCATATTTTGCCTGTGGATAGATTTGGGTTAACTCATACAACACTAATTATTTCTTTGATAACTTTTTATATAAAGCAATGTGATATTTATGAATGTTAAGCTCCATTAGGCCTGAAATATGTAGTGAATCCTGCTGCTACAAATCACTCCAATCAGGAGACCCAGGTTTAGCAAACAGAACCTACCTTGCAGCTACAAAACTTCCTTGCATATCATCACATGACATTAGCATTACTGTACAGCACAATGTAACATGAGGAATGTTGTGGCTAGGTGAAAAAGCAAGTGGAATTTGAGTAAGTATTTTTGGTTAAGTTCAAGAGGAAAGCATATTATATTATATAGTTTATTGTCAAATTGTGAGATGTACCTGTATACTGTTTCCTGTCAAAAGAGGATTTTCTTTAATTAATATATATTGTGTAGTTAGTGTTGATTGTTTAGTATGAAGTCATTGTAGCCACTATGAAAATATTTATACATTGAACATTACATCATTTGGAGTCAGTGATATACTGGTATATGTATTACGGATGTGAAGCCCTCGGTCACGGAACAGGTTGGGGGTCTGCAGGAGACCTTTGTTTGCATTTATTAAATTCTGTTGTTTTGAGTCTCAAAAAAGGAAATGGGTAAAATAAAAAAAGGATTAAAAGAAGTTCTCATGTTTATTGGTTGAAAGACAAGAAATTAAAGGAATTGATGTGAGTGATAATTAAGAGTAAGAAGTTGCCTTTGCTTTTGGAGTTTTCAAACACCCCATCATCTATACATTTACATGTTAACTGTTATTCTACACACAGTATCTTCTTCCTGTGGCTGTCATTGGAAATCGGATGCTGTGGGTTTGTACGGATATTTTTGGAACCCTTTTGCTGATCGGTTTTGAAAAGGACCATATGCAGAATCATTGTCATTATTAAAGAGGCTTATCAACCTGTTTGTTTCCTTGATTTCCTGAAGATAACTGCAACTGATTGGTTGGAGAATTGGGTGACATGGCATCTCTTCCTCTTTATGTTAGCTTTTTAGGAAGTTAAGAAGAGACTTGTTTTAGGAATGATTTATATATATTAAATGGGTTGTTTTATAAGTTCATGAGAATACCTGCATTAAAGAGAGAGAGAAAAAAGCCATACTGTTAAACATAGGCTAACAAACTAATAAATCCCTATTTTGGAAAAAAAAAATAGCTGGTTTAAATGAAAATAACTTCATGAAACAGAGATGTGAATAAAATGTTTCAATTCTGTATATTTATCAGATGCAGATGCAACCTGAAAATCTATTGGGAACATGATTTGTAGTATAAGATTCATTCACATTTTTATAAGTCAGTGCATACATTCTATCTATACATGTAAATATGCAATTATTCTTTATCCTTTTCTTTGTCTTTTTTACTTTTCTATAGGGAGTGAAACTTACATGAACACAATGTTAGAGATATATAATCGTTAAATATTGCCCTCTCAATCTATGAAAGCTTGGAAAATTAAATAGTTACCAGAGCTGAGGCTACTTTGAGGTGTACAGAAATAAGCAAAGGATGCATCGAGCTGAAGGAAGACTATTTTAACTCATCCAATTCCAGAAAAAGATAAAACCTTACGATTCAGCCCTGACTTCGCAGTATTTGAGTCACCAACAAGTCTCACTCTTATCCTGATCAGCTGACTGAAAATACTTCTCTTTACATATGCTTTGTATCTCTTATAACTTGATCATCATATTTTGAATGTTTGTTTATTTATGTTATTGATTTTATTTATTTTTGCACGTTTGCTGCCTTTATTTTAAGTCAAAATAAGTTTGGAGAATTGGAGTAATTCAGAGTATGGTGAGAGTTGCCAAATTATTACTTCCTGATATTAGACGAATAATTGAGCTAAACCTAAGGCATAATGTTTACAGCTAAATATTGGAGATTTAGAACTTCCTTCTTTTCTTTTTTCTCCTGCTTCTCCATCTCCCTTTTCTTCCTTTCTCCTCCTCCTCTTTCTGCTCCTTTTTCTCCTCCTCCTTTAACAGGATAGTGCCCACTGTTGACAGATTCACAGGCTGCTGACAATTAATTTGGTGCTAATAATCAACTGCTGGTAACAAGTTTTATTCAACTGAAGCGGTTTCTACAAAGCTTACAATACTCGGAACAAAGATTCGTAGCCAGTCCTAATGGCAGGCGTCGGGGGCCGCACTCGACGCCCGGCCCTTCAAAGTGGGGCGAGCTGGGCGAAGCGAGGGGCGTAGTGGAAGGCGTACCTAGAGGCGCCCACGGGTGTGTGGTAATAGGAGAGCGGCCTAAGGGATACTGCCCCCTGAGTGTCGGTCACGGGATGCTGGGAGAGCATCGGGACGAGGGAGCCGTGGGCGCCGCGAGCGAAGCCGAAGATGTACCAGGGGCCAAGGGCGTTGTGGCCGTGCGGGGAGAACACCAGCTGTGAGGCCAGGGCCACCGGCGGGGCCACGTCCTCCTCAGGGCCGGCGAGGTCGATGCTGTTCGAGACGGGCACGTCCTGCCCAGTTCTGAGGGACACGAGGCTCTGCTGCGGGGGAACGGCGTCCTCCGCCGCCTCGGTGACCAGGGTCGGCGAAGGGACCTGCGCTGATTTGGCAGCAGCGGGAGTCTGAGACGAACCCCCGTCGTTCGTCGGCTGGGGGTCGGCTGGCACGGCTTCGCCTTCTGCCTCGGCTGCTTCAGAGATTTCATTGTGATTCACTTCGCTCGCTTCTGCGGCTTCAGCGATATCCTTGTGACTCCCTTCACTCGCCTCCGCTTCTGGAATCGATTCGCCGACGAGCGAGATTTCCGTAACACCTTCGTCTGCCGTTGCTGCCTCGGGGGCCTCTGTGTTCTGGTCGGCGTCGGAGCCCAACTCGGTCACGGCCTCCGCGGCCTCAGCGGGGGAGCCGGTGGCGCTCGTCTCGGAATCTACTTCCTCGCGGGCGTCGGCGACTGGGGCGGCGCCGTCAGTTGCCGCTGCATCGCCAACGACGTCATCGGGAGCGGCTGCCGCTGCGATGGCCGCCGCGTTGTACAAGTTCATGAACTTGATTTTGGCGTCCGTGACTTCCGGGGTATCCTTGACGGGCTTAGGGAGACCCAGCGCCGGCACCGCGGCGACCTGCGTGTCAGTTGCTGCTGTCTCGGCATCGGCCGCTTTGCCCAGGGATTCGCCAGCCGTCGCGGACACAACTTCATTCTCGCTGCCTTCAGTGTCTGCGTCAGCTGAAATGGCGACCGGGTCGGGGGACCCCTGAGGATCAAGGTCAGTGCGAGCCTCAACGACCACGTGCCCTTGGTCATCCAGGCCAGCAACGACTTCGCTCTCGCCTTCGTCGGGAGCCTCGGCGGCAGCGATAGCCGCGGCGTTGAACAGATTCACGAACTGTATCTTCGCTGCTGTGACCTCGGGCGTGTCCCTCACGGGGTTGGGGAGGCTCTTCGCTGGAACCTCCACGACCACGTGCCCTTGGTCGTCCAGGCCGGCAACGACTTCGCTCTCGCCTTCGTCGGGAGCCTCGGCGGCGGCGAGGGCCGCGGCGTTGTACAGATCCACGAACTGCAGCTTGGCGGCCGTGACCTCGGGCGTGTCCTTGATGGGGTCGGGGCGGCTGAACGCCTGAGCCTCCGCGACGGGGAGGTGGTTGGCCCTGACCCTGAAGCCGCCCACGCCCGCCGTGTACTGCGCGAGGACCGTCTTGCCGTCGGCGTCCACGTAGGAGAAGGTGCCGGCGACGTTGCCGAGGGCGTCGCGGGCCTCATTCTGGAACTGCCCCGGGTACGAGTAGCCGTAGATGACCCGCCCGAGCTCGTCCTGGGCGTGGTGGCGCGAGATGTAGGTGACGGGCGGCACGTAGGGCACGGCGACGTGGGCGGCGGTGGGCGGGGCGACCACGGAGGCCGAGACGGGCGTGACAATGGCCGGCGCTGCGCACGTGGCGCCCACTGCGGCCAGAAGTACCTGCGGAGAATACCAATAATTACCACGGCGCTCTGAGGTGCGCTCTCATGCGGACGCAGTTCTCTAGACGAATCCAGCGATGAATAACTGATTTAACAACTACAGCTAGGAAAATCACCCAGTGAGGGTTCCAACTGAAGCGCACACAACAGGAATACTTGGGCATCAAAAGCGGCGACATTCGGAATCATTCCGTGTAAAAGCTAATATATGCTATCACTGATAACGCAGGAACACGGTCCTGATGTGTTATATAATCTAGTCAGATGTTTCTCTACTTGTAACTTAAAAAGTCTGATATGGAATCGGAAAGCTAATCATGATGCACAAGATACTTGTAAAAAACAAAAACAGAAAACAACTGCGTATCAAGAGCAACGATGAATGTGTGCTTCCGCGTACGTGGCTGTGCATGTTTATCACCACTAAAAGCAAAAGTTGTGCCTGTGCGTACATATCACCACTAACAGCAAAAGTTGTGCCTGTGCGTACATATCACCACTAACAGCAAAAGTTACAGCTTGCCACTCACCAGCACTCTCATCCTTCCAGAACCTCAACCCGAACTTAGCCTGAAGCGCCACTGTCCCTGCTTATATAGTGTACCCTTTTGAGGAACGGTGCCAATTAGTACTTATTCTTATACATATGAAATGCATGTTACTTTTGAATATTGCTTCTCACATTATTCATCTAGCCTTTTTTTCTTCGGGTAACATCAATATCTCGTTTCATTTTCCTCGATAACGTTTTTTTTTTACTCTCCCGATTAAGACGTTTGTTGTTGACGTCATCTATCGCATCTATCGAGAAGTTATACGCATCTTCTTTATGACCGGAAATGAGGCAACGGCGAAGGTGTATTGGCGTGGAACACCTTTTTTCCCTTTTTTTTGCGCCATAATTGTTATATTACCCGATGACATTCAAGAAAAGGGAAGCTCCCTACAAACTCGATCACATTCCAAAAGCGGGAAAGATACGACGCACGCCAAAAGCTGCGTTTTCAAGGTTGCGCACCTAAGGGTCTGGAATCTCGTCCACATTAGAGTAATTTCGCACACGAGGGAATAAAGTGGCAAAAAAGGCGGGAGAAAATAGAGCGAAGATGCTCTAACAGACGCCGACCTCTTCCTCGAGTTATGGACAGTTTCAATACCGGTTTTGTAAATTATATATACAATATTTTTTAGTTTGAATATCGTGAGAAAACAGAATGATGGTAATATTTTAGAAAGTATTTAAGAAATAAATACCCCATAATATACCTATAATTCCTATATTTACGTACACGGAACGAAATCATCTTTCAATAAAAATCAAGCAGTGAGTATGTATCTCTATAAGTTATGTCACTGTTTTAGCATTATAACAAGCAACTGAAATTTTGTCTTTGAAGACAACCCTATGCGATTTTTATCTCTTGATGACAGCAGACGAAATCTTACTTGATGTTGAGATGGAGAATTGTGTAATAGAAGGAGGAGAAGAAGGAAAAGAAGAAAAAGAAGAAGTAGGGGGAGGAGGAGAAAGAGGAGGATGAAGAAGAGAAGAAGAAAGAAAAAATAATTTAATAATGTGACCTTCCTGCATTCTTTAACTACGAGTCGCGAAGGGATTGTGACATCAGTATGACAACCGTAGGGGCAGAATCAGAGGATAATCATAGCAGATTAAGTGGCAGGTGCAGTCATCCTTCCTCCGCGCCCACACGCCCATAATGAGGGCGGGGAAGGATGACTCACCGACTCACCGCCCACTTTTCGCGATCACCTTTTAAGACGCCGGAGCAGCCTCGAAGAGAGAGAGAAGGAGAGAGAAGGAGAGAGAGAGAGAGAGAGAGAGAGAGAGAGAGAGAGAGAGAGAGAGAGAGAGAGAGAGAGAGAGAGAGAGAGAGAGAGAGAGAGAGAGAGAGAGAGAGACAGAGACAGAGAGAGAGAGAGGGGGGGGGGGGAGAATGAGAGGGAGACGGAGAGAGAGAGAGAGAGAGAGAGAGAGAGAGAGAGAGAGAGAGAGAGAGAGAGAGAGAGAGAGAGAGAGAGAGAGAGAGAGAGAGAGAGAATGAGAGGGAGACGGAGAGAGAGAGAGAGAGAGAATGAGAGGGAGACGGGGAGAGAGAGAGAGAGAGAGAGAGAGAGAGAGAGAGAGAGAGAGAGAGAGAGAGAGAGAGAGAGAGAGAGAATGAGAGAGAGAGAGAGAGAGAGAGAGAGAGAGAGAGAGAGAGAGAGAGAGAGAGAGAGAGAGAGAGAGAGAGAGAGAATGAGAGGGAGACGGAGAGAGAGAGAGAGAGAGAATGAGAGGGAGACGGGAGAGAGAGAGAGAGAGAGAGAGAGAGAGAGAGAGAGAGAGAGAGAGAGAGAGAGAGAGAGAGAGAGAGAGAGAGAGAGAGAGAGAGAATGAGAGAGAGAGAAGAGAAGCGAAGAGAGAGAGAGAGAAGGAGGGAGAGAGAGAAAGAGAGAGAGAGAGAGAGAGAGAGAGAGAGAGAGAGAGAGAGAGAGAGAGAGAGAGAGAGAGAATGAGAGAGAGAGAAAGAGAAAGAACTAGAGAGAGAGAGAGAGAGAGAGAGAGAGAGAGAGAGAGAGAGAGAGAGAGAGAGAGAGAGAGAGAGAGAGAGAGAGAGAGAGAGAGAGAATAATAGGGAGACGGAGAGAGAAAGAGAGAGAGAGAATGAGAGGGAGACGATGAGAGAGAGAGAGAGAGGGGGGGGGGGCTGAAGCTGCCCCTTCTCTCCCCGCTCTCTCCTTGTCTCTTCTCTTTCTCTCTCTATCTCTCTCTCTCCCTCTCACTCTCTTTTTCTCACCTCTCTTTCTTTCTTCCTCTCTCTCTCTCTCTCCACCCCCTCCCCTCTCTGCCTTTCACTTTCTCAGGCTGCTCTAAGAAGGATTTCAGGCTGCCCTAAGAAGGAATTCAGGTTGCCCTAAGAAGGACTTTTTGGTTGCCATAAGGAGGATGCAGCAATTACACACATATTGAGATGTGTGATGTCACCGGATCTTCTCAACTGCTGCACTGAAATGATCTTGAGAGAAATAAAAAAATAGAAAGATCTGAGGGTAGGAGGAAGCAATATCACAAACATCAGATATACAGATGATACAGTTTTGTTAGCTGAATCTGCTGGTGATCAACAAAGCTTCTAGATGTTGTTGCACAAGAGAGTGAGAAAAAGGGATTGGCTATAAATAAACACAGAATGTTTAGTCATCTCAAAGAAAAAGGAACTCCCCGTGCTTACGCTGAGAGTAAATGATAAAAATATTAAAATGTCTCGTCTTTTAACTATCCAGGAAACCTAATCACCGAAGATGCTAGATGTGGTGCAGAAATCAAACGAAGGATCGCCTTAGCAAAATCTGCATTTCAAAAATTGGATACCATTTTGAGTATGAAAACCAGACTGCATGTACTAAATTGTATGTCTATCCTGTTTTGTGCAATGGGAGTGAGGTTTGGACACTAACAGCAGATTTGGAGAAACGTCTAGAAAGCTGCAAGATGTGATTCCTAATGCGTTCTTCGGGAAGGGGGACTTGGGAACCTGGCATTAACTGGAAAGATAGAAGGGAAGAGAACCAGGGGAAGGAAGAGAATACTATGGATGACTAGCCTAGTTGGATGGACCCAAGAGAACGGCATAACAACCAAGGAGACTGAGCTAATATGCACGGCTAACAACAGAGAATTGCGGCGGAGCATGATCGCCAGTCTCGTGAGATGGCACCAAGAGGAAGGAGACTTTCAGGCTGCCCTAAAAAGGAATTCCGGCTGCCCAAAGAAAGATTTCAGGCTTTTCCTAAGGGAGATTGTATGCTCCCATAAAGTGGTTTGCAGGCTGACCTCAGAAGGAATTCAGGCTTTCCTAAGGATTTCAGAAGTTCCTAAGAAGGATTTTAAGCTTTTCTAAGGATGATTTCAGGATGCCATAAGGATGATTTCAGTCTGCCCTAAGGAGGATTTCAGGCTGCTTTAAGAAGGAATTCAGGCTGCCCTAAGGAGGGTTTCAGGCTTTCCTAAGGATTTCAGTCTTTCCTAAGGATTTCAGGCTTTTCTAAGGAGGATTTCAGGCTGCTCCAAGAAGCGGAGAAGTTCATTACAATTCGGAGAGGGCGTGAGTGTAAATCGTACAGCGAAGGGCCCTCGTTCGGCGCGGTCGTCATCGTGGAACTTGTGGGCGGACCTTGGTATGTGAGGCCTAACCATCGCGGAGGCCAGCCCCTAATATGCTGCACGATCACATGATTAGTTATTCCCGACACGAGGACAGTAGCGCCGCAAATTTAAATACAGCACATTATAATGACACAAACACGAGAACGTTAAGACTAATGCAAATACACAGAAGACCAGTTATGACACGGTGATTTAAACGTAAAGATCACATGAGTTGGAGAGGAAAGAAAAAAAACAAACTATGAAAAGATCACAAACAGGAATATGCATAGTAAAGGAAATTACCGCTGCCTGCGACGCCATGGCAGCTGATGAGATATCCCGAGATTTTCACGAATATGGCGATAGCTTCTGAAGATCAGAGGAATAGATGCTGCAGGAGAGAGAGAGAGAAATAGATTTCTTTAAATTCACAAAAAAATACAAGTGGAAATAAATTTGAAGTAAAGAAGCTTAGCAACTTGAACGGAAAATCGATGGGATACGTATGCAATTCCTATACTTATTTAATAATGAGGAAGATAATGGTAATAATAAAAAAAAATAATGGAAATGATAATGATAAGATGTCTATAATAATTATATTGATGATTATGATAATGATAACAATTATGATGATAATACGGACAGTAATGATAATGACAATAATACTGATGACTCCAATCATGATAATAGTAATGATGATAACGATAATAATGAAGATGATAATGATAATAACAGTAACACCACCACCAACAATAATAATAACATTATCATTATTACTATTATCATAATTGATATAATTAATGATAACAATAGCAACAAAAAAATAATGATAATCGTAATGCTAGTGATGGTAATGATCATAAAGACTAATAAAATGAATGATGATAATATCAATTATAATAATAGTGATAATTATAATAATAAAGATAATAATGATAATGATAATGTAGATAACCATAATAATAATGACAATAATGATATGTTATGATAATAATGATAATAATATTAAAAATAAGAAGAATAAAAAATAAGATAATAATAATGATGAGAAAAAAAATAATATTAGTAATAACGACAATAATAATGATAATGATAATAATGATAATAGTTATAATAATAATAATAAATGGATAGTAATGATATTGATAACGATAATGATCATGATAATAATGATAATAATAAAAATAGTATTGATAATAATTATAATAGTAGATATCAGAATATAAGTAATAAAAATATAGATAATAATATAAATGATAATGATGATAATTATAATAAAAAAAATATTGAAAATAATAATAATAATAATGATAACAATAATGATTATATTAATGATAATGTTAATAATAAGGATAATAATAATAATGATAATAACTGATAATAAAAATGATAATACCAATAGTAATAATATTAATCATAATAATAGTGATAATAACG